AAAAAGTTTTATCTGCCAAGGAAGAGAGGAAAGAGCAATTAAATAATTAAAATTATAAAGGATTAAAAAATATATTTATAAATGGGAAATATCGCACTTCTGACAATCGCTGCAAGTGTGTGGGCTAAATTTGGGGAATCCGTGCTTCTCACATGGACAACTGTATGTGGCCAACTTACGCGTCGGAAATCCTTCTGATTTATTCGTGTACGCATCAGACGGAAAAACAAAAAATATCGTGTATCCATAAGCACTCCAATAAATAAATAGAATTGAAACGACACTTTGAAATGTTTTCCCGATGAAAAATGAATAATAGTAATAATAAGTTTCAATAAAAATGATAAAATGTAAATTGAATTTTATCATAACGAGTTTGCTTGTGTAAGAACGCCGATTGGGGGGGGGAGATTTCCCCTATTGTCGGGATGATCTAAGGTGTACGCGTATGTGGGTGGCGGTTTTTAAAGGCAGCAAAGACAAGTGTTTTACAAAGGTAAACCGTTTATTCCGGACGATAATGCTTACATAAAGTCTCTCGTTGACAAGGTCCTGTGTTGTTGGAAATTTTCGACGTCGGTGCTGGTCTTGCGTCGTCGGGATTTTCGGCGGCGATCTGGTCCTGCGTCGTAGGGGCCCCTGGACAGTGTTGAGCAAAAATGTTCGAAGACTCGAAAGTCGATGCACAAGTATGAAAGGATGCGCGAAAAAACGGAGATACACGAACACAACAGAAGTTTAGTGGAAGGCTTAGTGGAAGTCTTGTTGTCCTTGGAATTGGTGCTTTTATAAGTTTTTCGGGACGGCTTTTTGCTAATTGGATAGACCTTACATCACCGTTTTCTAATTGGTCTTCCACCTGTCTCCAGGTGTAAATGGAGCTTCGTAAGGTTCGCGAGAAAGGTCGGCTGGAGATGGTTTATCCGACACCATCATTCTCGACTCTGATCGCGTTTAATTGTTGATTATGACACCTATGCTTTTTGATATTTTTTTTTCTAGTTTCGTTTTGCTTTCTAAACTGCGTCTTAACTTTAATATTTTAAATTTTCTTCTTTTATATCTAAAATTTTGTTTTTCCCGTTATTCTTTATGAGCGCTGACGTCAAAGTCCGGTATCGCCGATTCGATACTTATATAATTTGCTTTCTTGACAATTTAACTTAACAAACTTTTTTTTCTTATATTTTTCCCTTTTGCGGGGGCTATTTCCGGGGCCTCACAGTTGAATTTCGTTTCTTCTGAGATCGCAGCAATGCGCGAAGGGTAAGCTAGTGTTGTATAAAACTAACTGCTTGTACAAGTTTGCTTAAAACATGCGACTTAAAAATCCCCAAAATTGCGGCTCAAGAAGTAGGTCAAGCGTGTCCTGACCTTCTAATATAGATCTTGCCAGTAGCAGTGATTACAGCGCCGCTTTTTAAAGCTGATTGAAGAGAAGGACGCCATGACAGTTTCAGTGGGTTTATAGTGAAGCGTACCGTAAGAAATAATCATGTCATATTTTTGTGCCACTATCAATTGTATCAACAGTTACAAGAAATGTTCGGAAATTTCATTTCACAAGTAAGTTATAATTATTAATTTTGCTCACACTATACAG